CCGCCCTACCAAGTTCAGCACCAGAAACCGCTGAACCAACTAACGAGTAAAAAAAAAAATTCAACTTTTTCTTTTCTTTTCTTTTTCTTTTTTTCTTCTTTTTATTTTTTTTTCTTCTCAATTTGATCACTCACTTATATTCATCGGCTTCTCTGCGTAGAGTGTGTATGAGATGGTGTTGACTGCTAAAATAAACTACTCAAGAGCTGTCAGAGAATAAAAATTCAAGGCTAAACCATAATAAGAATTCAAATCAATTTCCATATGAGGAGATTTACGGTGTTAAGACGATACCGATCTTGTGAATTTTTCCCAAGTCTCCGCAAACTAATTCTAAATTAGTCTTTAGCCTAGAACTTTCAAAAAGATGCAATTTTTATTTTATTTTATTATTATAACTGAAAACAAACCAAAACAAAATAGTAAAATAAGCAAATAAAATAAAGGTTTCCCTCCCCCACACTTAAAGCATACATTGTCCTCAATGAAAGAACATAAATATAAATAAGAGTGAGAGAAAGGAAAGAACACACCCGATGAGTCAAGGTGGATAAGTGATCATATAAGCAGCCTTTCCCGAAGAGAGATCTTCTACAGGCTCCTCTCCCAAAGTGGGGATGTTATAAAGTAACTTTGCATAGTATCCATTGACCTTGAAATATTTATTAGTGCCTTCGAATTTTATTCCAGGATCAAAGAAGAATCTTCGATAAGTAAAAGTGTCGAATGGGCATGTGAAAGTGGTCTCCGTTTTCACAACATCAAGAATCAAGGGATTAAGGGGATGCCTCACTGCCTTTCTTCCGTCTTCAATTAAGACCCTACGCACATTTGCGGATGGGCTAAAATTACGAGTGTCAACCAAAGTCCATCCAATTCCCTTTCTTGTGCCTCTTTAAAACCTGCAAAAGCCTACTTTCTTGATTGAAATCAAGGTTAGCTGAAATAATAATAGGAAGCTTATCATTTATGTCTAAGTAGGCATATTTGAGATTTTCTGAGAGAGGTTTGAGTTCTAAAGAAGGGGGTTGCTCAATAGATGGGATGGTCGGGGCAGCAGGAACGTCCAGAGCCTCAACCGCACAAACTATTTCATCGATAACCTTATCCACCTGCAAAATATCGGTCTGCAATACAGCATTTATCTCAGCACAAGTAGAGCAAACATTAGTGTTAGTGCACACATCACAGGAGAAAATATCATCATAGTCTAGTAAAGACGGGAAATCAGATAAAAACTCGGGAAGTGTATTGTCTACTAAGTCAGAAAGTAACTCAATTTCAAACACTGAATGTTCTTCCATGGGATGTCTCATTGCATCAAAGATTATGGCCAGGATTGCAAATGCAGCAACAAATCCGATAATTCCCACAATGTCCTTATAGGTCAGAATCAAACTCAAAGAAGAAAGATGGTTAAAATAAAATCGAAAAAATCTAAAAACACAAAATTTAACCTAATTAGATCAAATCAGAATTTTGGAAATTTTTTTGGATTTTTTTGAGATAGTGAAAACAGTAAAAAATTAATTAAAAATAGAAAAAATAGGAATTGACAATTCGAGGGGCCAACTCCTGTAACTCTTCTAGAGTTAAGGACTTTTGATCGTACAATTTTTTTGCTTCAAGTTCACGAAACAGATATAAAAAAGAAGGCGATTTGTCCAAAATCTGTTTTTTTTTTTTGGTCTGACGAGAAAAAGGACGACCGGACGCGAAAACGCAAGAAAATACACAAAAATGAAGAAAATTAAAACAAACAAAACCTAAAACTAGATTATTGGCTAAATCAACAAGAATCCCCGGCAACGACGCCAATTTGATTCGCGGTCGCTCGCGGATCAAAAACGAGTAGTTTTGATAAAAATGTAATATAGCGACAAATGACTCGAAATATCGTTCTCACAAGGATTCTTGTATTATTTCAACCAACTAAAGAAAATTTTTATGGGGGTTTTAAGTTTTGATTTATAAAATAAGAGAAAAAAAGTGATTAAAAAAAATGATTATCAGATAAACTAAAACGGCTAATCCTACTGATTCGGGTTCCGACTTATCATCGGCTATTATAACATCAATCCCTAAGCGGCTCTAATCCTATTCGATTATGATATTAATCAGACAAGCTCTTATCAACATCAAATGAATTATGTTCCTGTTTACCGAATTAAGCAAACGGTTAAGAATATGACGAGTTAACGAATTAAGCAAACGATAACACGCAATTAAATTTAGGAACATGCATACAATCGAATTTAATCAATTTTATCCTATGAACAGCAATCGAATTAAGCAAACAATTGCAATCAAATTAAGCAAATGACTTCATAGAAAAGGATTGAAAGGAATTGAATTTAAATTGGTATTATAATAACCTCAAAGTGATGAAACCGTACACAACAGGATTTGCCCGTGGGAATTAGTTCTCCATAATTCGTACAAAGCTCCAACAATAATTTTTGTGAATAGTGAATAAGTTTTTTGGATGTACGGCCAGACCTAGACTAAACAGGAGACAAAAGAAAATTCGGGTCATAACCCAACTGGGTCGAAAACATAACCCAGACCCAAAACTAAAACAAATTCCTAATGCTGTAACTTCAACGAATATTCTGGAAAAATGTGATTCGAATCTGACTTCAACTCCAACACAAAAGTCGTAGCTCTCTCTGTTAGCTTTCCGGCGATATTTAGAACGCCTCAAACGGATTCCCGGAGCTCCAGTTATGATCGTTTCCGTGCAGACTGCTAAAGCTGAAAAATAAGTGCGAAAATTAAATTAAACCAAAAATAAAATAAAATATGAAAACATAATAAAATATAATAATAAGCAAAATAAAGTAAAGAAATGCCTAAGTAAAAATATAGGAGAATGTGCATAAATATGCACTGATCAGTCACGCATTTGTTGGTAGGTTGACAGCGGATCAGAAGCAACATGTTGTTGATTTGACAAAGAGAAAAGTTCCACCTAGATATATATTGCTTTCATTACAAGAGAAAGATCCAGATAATGTCACTCGGATCATGCAAATATACAAGCAGAAGAGTATGATAGAAAAAAATATAAGAGGTCCTAGAAGTGAGATACAACATTTGTTTAAGCTTATTGAGGATGCAGGTTATGTTTATTGGAGTAGAAAAAGAGATGACTCTGAAGTTATTAGAGATATATTTTGGTCTCATCCAGATTCAGTTAAGTTGTTGAATATTTTTCCTATTGTGTTAGTTATGGACAACACTTACAAGACAAACAAATATAGGCAACCTCTGTTTGAAATTGTTGGCATGACATCAACCGAGTTGACTTTTACTGTCGCATTTGCCTATATTGAGTCTGAGCAGACTGAGACTTTTTGTTGGGTGCTAGATAAGCTTAAACAATTGTTTGTGAAGAAAGAGGTGTGTCCACAAGTGATTTTGACAGATAGAGATCTTTCTTTGATGAAAGCCATTGAAATTGTGTTTCCAAGGTCGATCAATTTGCTATGTCGATTTTATATTAACAAGAATGTTGGTGCAAAACGGAAACAATATGTGGCTAGTGACATGCAAAATAAAATTAACGATATGGACGGATGTTGTATGGGCTAGTGATGAGGTTGAGTATGATCAAAGGTTGAACCAACTTGAGCAGGCGTGTGTTGAATGTAATGAATTTATTGGTTATGTGAAGGATACATGGTTGACACCACATAGACAAAGATTTGTTGGAGCATGGACTAATCGAGTGCTACATTTGGGTAACACCACGACTAATCGGTATGTATTTCTTTTTAGTATTTCTAAATTGTATTTTTTTGAATTTTTTTAAAATAGTTTTAATATATATTAATTTTAGGGTTGAATCTGCTCATTGGAAGTTAAAGCAAATGTTGGGGAACAGTATTAGTGACATGGTCAAATGTTGGGAGGCTATGAATGACAACTTAAAGTTACAATTGGGCAATATTAGAGCTTCTTTTCAAAAGAGTTTTTATGAAGTTGAGCATGCCCACGTAAGTCCATTCTACAATAATTTACGTGGTTCAGTGTCTCGAGATGCATTGAGACGCATTGCTGAAGAGTTAAAATGAGTTGATTATGTTGGAACTAACAAGGAAATATGTCGTTGTACTCTTAGAACAACCTACGGCTTACCTTGTGCTTGTGAGTTGACATGATATAGAATTGATGGTATACCGATACCAATAGATGTTGTGCATGTTCATTGAAGAAAACTAAGTATGGAAGTTAAGTTGGACGAAGACGTAGATGATGGATCAGAGGTGGATATGAGTAGTGCAATAGATGAGTTATGGAAAAGGTTTAAGTCACTGGATGTTGCTGGGAAAAGGGCATTAAAAAGTAGGGTTTTTGAACTTGCTTTCCCCACAATGACTTCTATGTGTCCACCACCTGAGAAAATAAAAACTAAAGGGGGAGTCAAGAAAAAAGACAAAAAACCAGTAGGGTGTGATGTTTATAGAGACCCTTAGTATCACGAGTATGTTGATCAAGCATCTCAATCTTCACAGAGGCAATCTCAACCATCACAAATTTCGAAGAATTTGAAATTATCACAGTCTTCACAAAAGAAATCTCAACCATCACAGGCTTCGAAGAAGTTGAAACTATCACAATCTTCACGGTCATCTAAGCAGTTCATCCTTCAGTTTCCTAATCACATCAGGTCATATATTGATGATGTAGTTAATGTTGTATCAGATGGTAATTGTGGATTTAGAGTCATTGCTTCATTGCATGGATATGGTGAAGATGGTTGGCCAATGGTTCGTCGAGACTTGGGGTTGGAAATAATACATAATGAAAGATCAAGTTTGTATGCCAATTTGTTTACTGATCAGTTAGCAGTAGTGAGAGAATCTTTAATGATAGAGGAATTTGGTTCTCAACCACCACATAAATGGTTAACTCTACCAGATATTGGTTACGTGATAGCAAATCGTTATAATGTTGTACTTGTCTGTTTAGGAATTGAATGATGGACTTTCTTCCATATGACAACTTCATTTTCACCAAATGTATCAATTTACTGCATTGGTTTTGTAAACATAAATCATTGGGTTCAGGTACTTAGTTGTTTTTAGATAATGCGATTAAACCTAATTCTTTTTCGTTATTTTTACTTAATATTTTGATTATTTTTTATTTAGGTAAACATGAGAGAAGGGTTTCCATTGCCACCAATGACAGTAGATTGGAAGAAGTTTCATTCTCCTGCAGCAACATCTTGGATGATAGGATTTGTAGGACGTCTACAACATTGGCAACAACTTACGCCTATATTACCAACACATTATGAATTATAAATTATGTTACTCATTTTTTATTTCAAAACATGAATCATGAATTATGTTATTCATTTTTAATTTCAAAACATGAATCGTGAATTATGTTACTCATTTTTAATTTCAAAACACGAATCGTTAATTATGTTATTCATTTTTAATTTCAAAACATGAATCGTGAATTATGTTACTCATTTTTAATTTCAAAACTTTGTGAATTATATTATTCATTTTTTATTTCAGGCTACAAGTTAACACATAAACAAAAACCAACTAGGTCAAATGAGTCTAAAAGTTAACACATGAACATAAACCAATTAGGTCAAATGAGTCTAAAAGTTAACATATAACCATAAATATAAATATAAGCCACTGTGATGACCAAGATGTAAAGCTTCGAACAAATCAGCAAACTGTGGGTCATCCTCTTCAGCACCAACTTGTTGAAGATAACGATGAATTAATGAAGACATACGAGCCAATATAGGATCAGATGGTCCTGCTTCATATACAGGAACTGGCATCTCTGTTGTCGCATCACGATTGGGCGGTACTAGACGAGGATGCGAAACACTATAATACCACTCAAGATATCCATCATCTGTCTCGTATGGGGCGGTGGCCGGTGCTGTCGGACGAATCACATCCTGAACGCTCTGATGGTAACTAATCCAGTCAATATCAATATCACCAGCCATTCGAGAATCAAGAGGTGAATGTGGAACATACTGCATGTAACCAAACTGACGCATACATCTGTCAGGCAAGTATGGAACAATAGTGTCACCCCACCTCAGACACCCCCTATATAGACATAACTCATCAAACTGACGTCATACTCTATGATTCTCGAATGGGCGCCATATGACATCGGCAGGTGTCAGCTCGTCCTGAATAGGTCGCAAGTCATCCACCTTCAAGGCACCTTACCTATAGGACCATCTCATCGCTCGAGGAAGACCCACATTATTAGCTGGTATCCAGTTCTCTCCTCTTTTTCCAAGTGTTGGAAAATACTAATGAATCCAACACTGTTACAAAATTAATATGGTTACTAAATTTAAAATAATTAATTATAACATAACAAATTAGATAAATAAAATTAATATACTAGATAAAATTAGTTAAAACAAAATATACTAAATTAAAATAAATACCTGTAGGAGAGTCGGATAACCACCAAGATGCTTACAACTGAACATGGAAGCATCTCTGGGATAATGATAAAGAGTAACCAACGCAGCTGCTCCCCAACTGTATCCTGATAAGCCATCCAAGCCTATAAATAGTGAGAGGTATCGTGCCTCGACAAGCGTAAACATCTTGTCCGCAAAAATAATGGAACCCATTAACATCAGCAAATAAGCTCTAGTGGCATAATCCCATCTAGATGCAGCTCTATGCTCTACGAATCGATCATATAACCACTCCAACTTATAGTAGGAAACCCTGCAGTCACGGACTTGTTGTTGTGCTACTCTATGTGACACTCCTAAATAATCAAAAGCCAACTCAACAACAAACACTTCACTGATATCTTGAGGGCTCCAGAAGACTCCTCTGACGGGCAAGTGAAACAGAGATACGTCGTCTAGAATAATCGTCATCTCACCAAACGGCATGTGAAATGAAGATGTCTCTAGATGTCATCTCTCTGCAAATGCGGAAACCAGGTTCGTGTCTATCTTTGTTAAACTGGTTCTCTGGAGTAAAGCTAGACCAGACCTAGATATCCAGCCCTCCATCTCTCTGGGTAGCTGTAGTGGAACCCTCTGAATCAACTTCAACCCATGTCCCGCTACCTTTAACTCTTTCTTCGACCCTCTCTCCTGAAAACAATTAAAAATAAATATATTATAAAATTCAATACTAAAAATTCGAATTCTATTCAATATTAAATAATTTTCGTTTACTTACCTCACCGAACCATATATGTCTAGCAACATGATGTTCGTACTCAACTAAAAGAGAGGTATCATACGGTCTTCCTGGATATCCAACAGGCTCGGATGCTGATGCAGATGAATCAAAATGCTCTTCTTCAGTCATTCTCGATGACTCGGCCCGTCCTAGTCCACGAGGGATCCTACCATCTCTGCCTCGTGTGCGTACCACTAACAAAATAAAAAAATAAATAAAATTAAAAATAAAAAAAATAAAAAAAACGGAAGTCTTTAATAAAGTCTTCCGGTAGATAATTTGTAAAAGGGCAAGGGGAAAGGGTAATACTTCAAGTCACTCAAATTTCTCTTTCATTTCTCTCACTCGCTCATTTCCTTCTCAGAAATACATTAATTGTCACTCTCTTGTTCCTTCCCTCACTTCTCTCGTTGCAGATTTCTCATTCTCTCATTTTCATATCTCTCAATCTCTTGTTCTAGTTCTTCACTAAGTTTTAGTTTTCTCTAAAATTCTCATACACTACTCTTAGTTCTATCACTCATAGTTAGAATTTAGGATTTCTTAATCTTAGGTTTTTAATTTAGGTTTTATGATGATTGTTGTTGTTTACGGGTAATTAAACACTTTAAACCGGTTCTTTCACTCTACATGTGAGTACGGTTTGTGTTTTTAATTTATGTTGTTGTTTTGTTTTTATGAATGTCTCAGTTCTCTCTAACTTTCTAACTTTGAAAATTGATTTTGCATGATATTTGATTGTTGTTGACTGATCATTGGTAATATAAGATTAATAAATATGATTAATAAATTTGATTAATCTCTTCTGCTTTCTTTGTCTATGTTGACCATATTGTGGAATACAATGCGTTTGTTCTTAATTAATTTACGTCCTTTATTTTCTTCATGATTTGTATGGCAAAAAGAAAAACAGAAAATGTAAAAGACTTAGTGTTTAATCTGCTTGGATCTGATACTAGTATTATAATGCTCTACTTTGAACTTGAATTAATGATATAAATAATTACTATGTTCTAGTATTTAATATATACATATACTATGAGAGAAAAGATTTCTTGGGCGTTAGAATAATCCTAGTTGCATCTTATCTTTTTGTAGATTTAGTTGTTAGTGTCAATTTTGCATTTAGTTCAGTCTATGCATATCTGTCACAGTTATGCAGTCTTAGTCCCACTCTAAATACTGGTTATGAATGAATTGGAATGTTTTTAATCATAGTTTTAATCACAGTAGTGTATAAATTGGAATGTTTTTAAGTGTATGCAATGTATTTATGAATATGATTTTAATTATAGTTTTTTAAGTGAATTGGAATGTTGATAATGACTCCTTCTCTATTTCAGTAATTGATGAGCCTAATCAAAAACTATAAGTTAATGAAGCAGAGTCAACTATGCAACCTACAAAGAAGAAGAAATCTTGTGCAAGTGATTCTAAAAAATAATTTGTTTTTTGGGAACACTTTATTAGATTAACTGATAACCTAGTTGATGCACCCACTACAACCTGCAAACACTGCCACAAAAAATACTTGTGTGACCCTAGGACTCACGGCACCACCAACTTGAACCATTATATTAAAAAATGTCCTAGGATGCCCTTGTTGTGTCAACTCACCCCACACAAAATATTTTAACATACTCAATTGTAGATGGCAATTTGGTTCAAGTCAGCTCTAGATTTGAAAAGAAAGCTTGTAGAAGTGCTTTGGTAGTTTTTGTAGTTCTAGATGAGCAACCATTTAGTGCAATAGAGGGTAAAAATTTAAATTTTATTCTAAAGTAATACAACTCTAATTCACGATTCCATCTAGGCGTACGGTAGCTAGGGGCTGCTTTCAGCTACATTTTAATGAAAAACAAAAGTTAAAGGCCTTTTTTAAGTTTGACTACAATAGGGTAGCACTTAATACTGATTGCTGGATTTCTATACAAAATCTCAACTACTTGACTTTTACAACACACGTTTTGGATAACGAATGGAAGTATCAAAAAATAATTATAAGCTTCGCCGTAATTCGAAACCACAAGGGTGACACTATAGGTAGGAAGATTGAAGAAGTCTTAACGGATTTGAGAATTAGGAATGTGTCAACCACATAACTGTTGATAATGCCACTTTAAATTATGTTGCTGTAACATATTTGAAGAAAAAAATAGCAAATATGAATGGGTTGATGGGGGGTGGGGAGTGTTTTCATATGAGATGTTATGCTCACATTTTGAACTTGGTGGTAAATGAGGGTTTGAAAGATAAACATTTATATGTAACTAGTGTTAGGGATGTTGTTAGATTTATTAAGTCCTCACCTCATAGGGCAGCCAAGTTGAAAGAATGCATTGAATTTGCTAGAATAAATTGCAAAAAATTAGTGTATCTCGATGTTTCAACTCGTTGGAATGCGACATATTTAATGCTAGAGGTTGTGGAGAAGTTTCAACTCGCTTTTAAAAGCTTGAGGATGAAGAGTCGAGCTATAGGGAATTCTTTGGAAAGGGTAATCCCCCTAGTAGTGATGATTGGGACACTGCTAGGGCTTTTAGCGTTTTTCTAAAGTTATTATGAAGCAACTAATATTTTTTCCACCTCTCAAAATGTGAGTTTGTATACTTGTTTTCACTAAGTGTCTACAATTTATTGTGAGTTGAAATAAGCTTGTATGAACTTAAATGATGTTTTTCCAAGTGTGGGTGGGAATATGATGAAAAAGTATAATTAACATTGGGGGAGTGCCGATAAGATGAACATGATGATATATTTTGGTATTATTCTTGATCCAAGATACAAGTTGGGTTACATTGAGTGGACGTTTAAGGACATGTATGGACTTGGATCAAAGTTTGGTAGTGAGTTGATAAAATCTATAAAAGAGGATTTACAAAAGTTGTATGATTAGTATAAGCAACCTTATAACCAAAAACATAATTCCACACACTCTCTTGGTAGTGGTGGAAACAATGCCTCTAATGACGAAACAACTGCATCTGCTGGCCATTCTTCACTTATGGCTAGAACCGATGCTTTTGAGCAACATTTAGAGGAACATGACTTGATTGATCAACAAAATGAGCTTGAAGGGTATAATTCTATTAAGTGTGTTAAAAGAGATTCTAACTTTGACATTCTTGTGTGGTGGAAACGCAATTCAGCCAAATATTCTATTTTATCTATGATGGCTAAAGATGTTTTAGTCACACCAGTTTCTACCGTTGCTTTTGAAAGTGCTTTTAGCACATGAGAGAGAATCATAGAAACCTATAGGAACTCTCTAACTGCTGAAATGGCAGAGGCTTTAATTTGCACCCAGAATTAGTTAAGGCATTCTTTTACCTATTTCAAAGACATGAACCTCAGGAAAGATTTCGAACTTTCAGAAGATATTGTAACAACTATACTAAAGTTGTTTTGTGACTATTCCGGTGGATAATTGAAATATTTGTTGATGGTGATACTCCACATGTTTGTTTTGTGACTATTCCGGTGGATAATTGAAATATTTGTTGATGGTGATACTCCACATGTTTTTGTAGGTATACTCAACTTTTGTTTCTGATTTGTGTTAAAGATTATTGTACTTTTTGTTAAGATTTGTTTACCAACTCAATTTATTCATCTGTTGTAGTCTCGGCTAGCTACGATCATTCATTGCGCGCTTGGAACTGCAAATCCCACCACATTGAGCCAATATTAGTAAAAATAGGTAAACAGGTAATGTAATAATTAGTTCAAAAACTAAACGAGTTAATAACTAAACTTGTTGATCTGTTGAACTGCATTCCTTGATGTATGGTCATAAACCCCATAAACTATCCAGAGCTTCCAAATACAAGTTGATTGGAAAACATTTTCTCTCGTGGAATCCCAAGTATTGATGCAACATGTATGCTAATAAAAGAGTTTCTGTTCATTATTTAGAAAAATAATTTCAAATTTGCATGGTGGTATAAGAGAGGAATAGAATAGACTTTTTTCTTTTCCACAATTTACAATCCTATGTTCATCTAGCTCACATTGATTCCACAATCTCTCAAAAATGAAATCTCAAATGTAACATATGTAACATATGTTGGTCACACACATCTCTCAATTCCAACTTTCAACTAGGAAGCCACTAGTCATAACCATAATCATTGTCTAAAGAAGTTGTTATGTTACTAAATAGGAAACAGGATCCTAGAACATAGTTCATCATAGACAGGAACGAAATTACATGTAGCCAAAAGAGACTAAATTAAATACAAGAAAGGACATGATTGAATAATTACATATACAATTAGTTAAAACAAAGAGAAACAGGGCAGGATCTTGGTTCAAACATAGTCTGTCGAAATCAATGGTATTTCTTTTCATTTATGAAAGAAACCACCGGCAGCCTTTGCAAAATCACCAAGTCCATGGCCATGTCCACCTGATTCTCCACCGTCGGTTTTGGCAGCATCATTGCTTTTGTGGTGATCTGGTTTGGAAGTTGGATGATCAGCCGTGGCGGCGGCGGTTGTGGTGGGATGATAGCGATGAAGATAATCAGCAGCCTTGTCAACGTACTGTCCTAACCCTTTCTGATCATCCAATTTAGCATAATCACCAATTGCATCTAGAAGATCCCCAGCTGCATCAGCCACCTTCCCTTTGTCCATCGCCTTCCCATCAGGTCCTGGTCCGAAACCTGACTGTGCTGCCTCTGCTACCAGTTTTGCGCTTGCCATAAGCTCGCTCGTTGAGTGCTTCTTCGTTTCCCCACTCCCTGTCTTGTGGTGAGATTCCGAAGAAGCCATTGCCGTTTTGATGATAGTTTAGTTTACAGGAGTTAGATTCTGCAAGATTTGAACAAGTTGTCAATTATTGAGAAACTCTGAGTGACTTTATTTCTGGAGAAAAATATCTATGGAAATTGTGGTTGAAGTTCTTAATGATGTCTACCTTATCGATTCAGACATGGTATAATATCGTGGGGAATACGTGTCCTTTGAAACACTGTTTGAGGAAACCAATGCTCTTTTAACTATGATGTCTCCTTCTTTCTCTCTCTATCTCACAATATAAACATCATATTTAAATTAAAAAATTATTTTCTTAAAATGAATAGTATTTCAAATTTATAATATAGTTATTTTTCTAAAGGCAATTCTATTGAATAAAAACTCAATAGGTGTTCAACCTATTACAATATCGATAGGAAAAAAAAAAAAGAAAAAATTTTCAACCAAAACCAAATCTCCTTAATGTTTCGGATTCGAACAAAAGGAATGAAAATTAGTGTTGGAATAGGGAATTTCACCTACACAAGATCATTTTTACGCGAAAAATTTAATGGTCCAGCAAATATCGTCTAAATTACATATCTCATTATTAAAAACAATGTTGTTTTTAACCCTCCAAATGCACCACACAACAATTAACCAAACATAACCATACTTTAAGTTGTCCTATTCCGCACCAGTCAGCAAAGTAATTGCAAAAATCTCCTGTAAAAACACGGTTGTTACCACACCAGTCCCCCACCCTATCTCACACCACCGTAATAGAAGAGTATTTGAAGAAGGAATGATGAATGTCTTCTTCCGAGGTAAGGCATAAAACATAATTGGTGTGTCTAGCTCGGAAATCCCTATCTTTGCTAGTTGAACCTTCCTTGCAAGCCTATTCCAAAATCTAAAACATAAAACATTAGCCGACAATTTGATCTTCCACAAAGAACCAAAAGCCTTAGTTTTGTCAAGGAACAAAGTATTGTCTCCTCTAGCTTCAAGCATTAATTAATAAGCTAACCTTACGTTGTAGACAATGGAGTTGTCAACCATCCAACTAATGCCATCGTTCTTCCCCGAGTTGGGCCTCATCTCACGCAGCAAATTCTGTAGCTCATGAAATCTATCTTCATTTACCAACTTATTATGTTAAGAAATACAAAAATCTCTCCAAACCCAACTCTTTTGAGTCCAAGAGCCCATAGAAATAACAATTATACTTGTTGATACTGCATTGGTAAATATCACCAAACAGCACGACCAAAGAAGATGAGCTATGCCACTTTGCCATCCAAAACGAAATTGAGTTTCCCACACCTAGCTCAAATTGGACAGAATCTGCAAAATAAAAACCAAGGTTAGAAGTAGTAGCTCCACACTTGAGGACATCCTTCCACCAATAAGAAGATGATATCCTCGAAGGAAACTTTTTTGTCATAACTTGCTGCTATATGAAATCGTATCTAGCTTTGAATGTGTCCTTCCATAATGACTTAGAATCCTCAAGAATCCTCCATTTCCATTTTGACAAGAGAGCTAAGTTGAATTCCTCCATGCTTTTTATTCCAAGTCCCCCCTTATCCTTCGACTTACACACCCAATCCCACTTAATCCAGTGAGTTTTCACCTTTGCCTCATAACCGCCCTAAAGAAACCTGATTCTGTTTTTACCTATGGTTTTTAAAACTGTCGCTGGTGCTTTATAGAAAGAAAACTAGAAATTTGGAAGGCTCGACAACACCGAATTGATAAGAGTAATTATTCCCGCCATTGATAACATTCTTCCTTGCCAAAGGGCCAACTTCGCTTTGATCTTGTTAGTGATCGGTTCCAAGTGTTAATCCTTCTAGGGTTGATACTAATAGGGACCCCTAAAAAACTAAAAGAAACCTTTTCCATCTTGCAAGTTAAAAATGTAGATGCTGCCAAAAGGAAGTGATCACTCACGTTAATATCGATGATCCTACTCTTATTGAAATTGTTGGATGTGATCAGATGGATATGAAATGTGCATTCCTGAATGGCCCTTTAGAAGAAGAGGTGTATGTAACACAACTAGTTGGGTTTGTGAAACAAGACCAATTGAAATTGTAGGATGTGATCAGATGGATATGAAATGTGAATTCCTGAAAGGCCCTCTAGAAGAAGAGGTGTATGTAACACAATCAGTTGGGTTTTTGAAACAGGATCAAGAAAGGAAAGTATATAGGTTGCATAAAGTCCTGTAAGGACTGAAACTGTAAGTGTGAAATACACCTAAGAGGAGGGGTGAATTAGGTACCTAAAATTTTCTGGTCTTTGATGTAGGATCCTTGTTTTACTTTCCTAAAATTTACTAAGTGCAGAATGCGGAAAGTAAAGAGACACGATGGTGTATCCTGCTTCCCCTCACAATCTGAGAGTACTCCAGTCCTCTTTCAACACAAAAGAGATTTTTCAGTAATTGTTAGATCCTAAGACAAGACTTCTACCTAGTCTTTCTATACATATTCTAAACAATCAAACCACCAAGAACAAACTCTTAGATTTTTCAACTAAGTCTAATGAGAACAATCCTCTCAATATGGACCTCTTGCTTCCAACAATCCTGGACAGTAAGGTAACAACCTTATAAACTTAATTCAAACAATCCTGAAACAGTAAGTATGTAATCAAAGAGTAAATGAATAAAATCTATTTTGAGTAGTTTTGAAATTGTCTTCAAAATATCAATCTTCCGATCGATCTTCTTCTTTGATATTCCAACTCTTATATATCTTAACAAGTATTCAAAAGGTAAATGAGTTAAACTATGATGAATTTATGAAAGTTGAAATATGCAGGTTTCACTCTTGAAAAATCAGAATTTTAACACTTGTAAAAATTTGAGAATGAGAGATGAAAAATATATTTGAAATTTTTGCAAGAAGGCAACTCCCAACCCACTAATCCATTTTCAGCCCTGGCCCGGAAATGCCACCTTTTCCTGGCTTTCCAAACAAAGCCCAAGTCCAGTCCATCTAATTTATTTTTTTCCCATTCCAGGACGGCCCAGGCCGCTATCCGAGTGCAATCGGCAAAAGCAAGTTTACCTTACTTATATTAATAATATAATTAGTTCTGCTGTCAAAAGTAGGGGAAAGTGTCTGATCCTTTCAATCAAGCGATAGAGGCAGAGGTTTTACTTCTTCAGCCTACGCTAGGACGGAGCTGCTGTCGAGTGACGATTGGTCGAGGGGAGTTCAATCATGAAGTTGGGTACAAATAAGCCAGTAAAAGACAAGTAGAAGCCAGTGAAAGAGGAGTAGTCAGGGTACGACGAAGCACGCCTAGTACGTAAGCGAATACGGATCACGTGGGTTTGTACTGATCCGCTTTCGAGCTGTCGAGTGAGGATTGCTCCATCTATGAAGAAAGGACGCATGAGGCCTCTCTTATTGGGGGTTACTCTCTTCTCTGATGTGCGTTATATTATTAAGTTCTATTCCTGAAAGAGTTTTTGGGATTAAGCCACGTGGCGATACCCGCGAAAAACGAAAGACTCTTTTTTTCGCTTAGAGCTTCCCACGTCTATAAATAGAAGCTGCTTTCTCTATTTGGCAAAGCAAGGGGAGATAGATATGGATCCACCAGTTACCACTTTAACGCTTTTTCAAATTGAGCAAGCAATTATTAATGTAGAGAACGCAAAGCTCCAGCAGGAGCAAACCCTGGCTGCCTTTTGGGAGCACATGCCTCCTGTCGAGGAGGAGGTCCTGGTAAAGCGGATACAAGAGCTCCGGGACCACATTCGCGCTCTGGAAGAACAAAGGAGGGTTCTCATTCGAGAGCGCGAATTACTGCTTATCAGGGCGGCCTCCATCATCCGCAGGAGACCTAGGGGAAACTACTAAGAAGTCCTTTGTTTTTGCTTTTCTTTTAAATTAATATGTTGTTTGTTTACTTTGTTGTAATGTTGTGTTTAGTTGTGTGGCTGGTTTGTCTATGTGAGTGTAAGCTTCATAAAGGGTCCGTCGACTCTTTCTAGAAGATTTAAATAAGTGTCTGGAGACGCAAAGTAGTGTGTTTTAATGTATGGTGTTCTTTGTCTTTTTTAGTTGAGATCTACTTCGGATGCTTACTGGAGATAGACTCCTATCTATGCTAACTATCTTTGTTTGGTTTTCTTTTTTATGTTTGCATGTATGGTATGGGAAAAGCCCTAGTTGTAAATCTTTACTACTTATGAAAATATAATAAATAATAATGTTCGTAAAAATGTGCTGAAAATTTAGAAGGTGTAAGCTCAGTGTACTGGAGATGCGCTTATTAAGCCTTTCTAACTTTAAAGCAAACTTCTTCCTTGAGTCTGCGCCGTCTTAAAAACCAAACCCTAATCTTTCTAGTTCAGTTCGTGTGTTTTACGTGAGCGCGTTGAACTAGTGTGCATGGACCTTAGCCACGAGTTTTTCGGCCTAGACGCTAATAACACGAAAACATTTTCTTTGGTCCTGGGTTTTCGATGTTTTTGTGCTTAGTCTTGCTTCTTTGGTCACTTCACTTGAGCTATAGATTAATTTATCCGGGTTCCCTGCGGGGCTACCTCGCTCCATGAACTCACTCCACTCCCCCTTACAGGAATAGAAGACTCGGTAATCAGTATAAAAAAAAAGAGGGAAAATGTAGCTCCTGAGTAAGAAGATAAAGAATAGTTCCTTTATTTCAATTTAACTATTTCCCTTTCTGTAAGCGAAGGTATCGAATGACTTTCTATTCAGCTTAGTAATAAATTCCATCGCTTACTGTTCTCCTTCGGATCCTTAGTAAGTAGTCAGTATGTTGCTTGTTTAGTAAAGGTCACTTCCCTTTTCTTGCTAAAGAAAATCACCATCTCCTGGGCGATCCGTTCACAGAGTCCTTTCCCATTCTACCTAGGGCAACATGTTGAATGAATATTCATTCCGGAGAGCCAAGAGAGAATGAACTTCCAATAGACTTGAATGAAAAGCTAAATAGAATAGAATTGATTACAGTTGCAGAATCAGAATAATCAGAATTATTCTTTATCT